ATTCTGTTTCTTATCATTTATTAGTTTTAAAACTATGGTCTGCAATTATTCTCCAATAATGTTGTGGCTCCCTCTCTTTTCTATCATGTTCTTATTGAGTGTGAATATCCAGAGAGGAAGAAAGCTGGAGGAAGAGAGAGGAAATTAGAGTAATGACTAAGTACAGTATGTGAATACACTTTAATTTTAAAAACACTGCAATATGCATGGCTCTAAAATTGGGAGTAGCTAAGTACCCTAACACCATTTGTTTCTTGTTAGCCAAACAGCAGCATTTCAACATCTATCAAAACTGTGGCAAATATTTTATGACTCACCAGATAAAGGGCCTTCTACAAAATATAGTTGGCCCTCGATATCGACAGGTCCTGCTTCCATAGATTCAACCAATTGTATATCAAAACTATCTTTTAAAAATTTGCCTGTAGTGAATGTGTACAAATTTTCTTTTCATTATTCCCTAAACAATCTAGTATAGCAGCTATCTGTGTAGCATTTTTAAGGCATTAGTTATTATTAGTAACTTAGATATAATTTGAAGTATACAGGAGCATGTGCTTAGGCTATATAAAATACTTACACCATTTTAAATAAGGAAACTGAGGATCTGTGTATTTCTGGTGTCTGCGTGGGGGGTGGGGCTGGGAGTATTCTGAAACAACCCCCATTTAGAAACTGAGGAATGATGGTATGCTGTTACATGGAATATGATTAAGCTGATATTTCTGTGTAGTTGTCTGAAGGAAAAAAATTATGTAAAAGAGTGAATACTATTTCTTCAGTTTATCAGGCAAGCAAGTGCTATTTACACCCTTATAGCCTCTCAGGAGAGGCTAATTGAGCCAAATAATTTTGTAGCTACATTTCAAATGAAGTCCATCCTACAGAGTCTGCATCATGTAGATTTTATAAAATCCTTGAGTCAAAGAACTAGAAAGGGTCTATCTGCATAAGCATCTAGATAAACTTACAGATGAGAAACCAAGGCTTCTAGGGAAAGCAACAGCCCGAGTTTACCTAGCAATATGGATACTGAGCCAGAATTTTATACATGTTGGTGTTTTCTAATAGATAGCAAAAGCACTGGCCTCTTGGACTGTGTGTTTTCATTCTCTAGATTTAAGTCACTCCCAAATTTAACTTAAGATTTCTCATTGATAAAGAAATCTTTTCTAATTTTTCAGTCACATTACACTTAACAATTTATGATTCAAAGCATGTTCATACTTCCAGTTGTTCTGGGATCAACAGCATCCTACCCATGAACATGCCTCAGTGATTAAACCTAAGTCATCCATTCTTCCCCTGTGAAATAGGAAAGGTGACCCTTTCCATCAGTTATTCTTTTTCTTTCTCTTTTTTAATTGAAAGTTTTAGGTTGTATATGCCTAGAAAAGCTATTTCTAGAGTATGTTATTTCTAGTTATAAAACACATGAAGCAAAATATTTCTGTGAAAAACATTTTTTCTCTATCAAAAAGACATTGCAGGGCCAGAGTTGTAGCTCAGTGGTAGAGTGCTTGCCTAGCACGTGTAAGACACTAGGTTCGATCCTAGGCACAACATAAAAATAGATAAATAATAAAAAAGACATATTGCACCCAGATTCTCAAGAGCCAGAATGCTCAGAATCAAAGTATATTTTATCCTAAAGACAAGACTTGGACCAATGAAGACTTACTGTTGGGAGTAGAGATAGGTTGAAGGTGGGGTAGCAAAAGCCTAAGGGAGAAAAGAAAATATTTGAAGGGAAGCCTATCTCTTACAACTATCCTTTAAACATACTTTGAAAACCATGAGTATAATTTATAACATTGAATTTATATTCCTATCCAACATTTATTCCTACAAAATATTTTTCTAACTCTGTAGGAAGAGCAATATAAATTCCTGTATCAAAACTATAACAAATTCTGTAGGCTAAGACTAAAATGTACAATATAACTAGGGCATACAAGAGATAGTAAACACATACATCTCTTGGATCAGAACCAGATTTTCAAGTGAAGGAGCTTTGACACGGTGTGTCTTCATGTCCATTTTCCTCTTCAGGACTCATGCTCTGGAGGTTAGAATACTTACTCCTTTCTTCCTAACTGTTTCTTAAAAGACCATAAGTGAAGTGAACACTGCTTTAGCATCCATTATCTCTGCGGAGATTACAAAACTAGGTGCTCAGTCTTCTGCATGCTCAAAGCTGCAGGCTGAGAGAGCTATTAATAAATCCTTTATCTTTTTTTAAGTTAGAAAGGAACTGCAGCCTTGCATATCAAATACAGACAACTTAATATCCAGAAGTAATTTGTAACAACAACAAAAAGATGCAAATGTAATTCTTTAAATTTACGATTACAGTTTTGAATCTTGTTATTCCTAAAACCAAGTAAGTTCCTATTAGGTATAAGTTATAATACAGTTAGATAGTAGCTTTATTTTTTTTGGATATTTCAGAAACAAATTTAGAATGAATTTGAAATTCCTAAAATTTCTCACTGAAAAGTAGGTGGCAAGGTGATTTCAATATCTTCAAAAATTCTGGAGAAAGTCCTTACGTATTAAAAAAAAATAAGGGATGGAAAGAATGAGTAACATAAGTTGGTGGTGTTAAAATCAGAAGTCAAGATACATGTGGCATAATGCCTCAAAGAGCTCATGATAGGGTATATGCATTGTATTAGCTGAGAAGGTCAACTGAAATGAAAGTGCTCAAAGCATCTCATGGGAATAAAGATATTATCGTACCAAAAGTGTGCTGATATTCAAAGACACAGGTCTACCCTAAATGATGAAGACATCAAAGTACGTTCTCTTCTCCACTGACTCCACTACCACCACAACACACACACACACACACACACACACACACACACACACATACTTCGTATAATTTTTCTTTGAAAGAAGAATTATTGCACTTTCATCCTTCTGCAATGATCTATGAACTCTTAAGCAGCTAGTTCTGTGCTTCACATACTTCATTGCTTGATATTTAAAGACTAGCAGTGATATAAGCTATCGTACAGTCTAGAAAGGAAAATAGTCTACATTGTTAATAATAAGCACATGAAAAGTGACTTCTCTAGGCTTATCTAACGTGTTGACTTCCTATTTCACCTGGGCATTGATTTACCAAGCACATAGTTATGATGATCTATAGAAAAGTGACCAAATCTATATGATGAAATCCTAAAATCAAATAATTGAATGCTTAGGAAATAAACCTCTATTTATCCACCCTGATGTTCAAGTCCACAATTCTACTGAAATTACTTTCTCAACAAAATGTTATAATAGTTTGGAAAGATAAACTTTTGTAGTTTAAAAAAAAACAACTCTTATTTGTAAATGAGAGTTTCAAATATTCTTTTAGATTATCTTACATCAGTTTCTTAGTTTCAAAAATAATCCTTTATGGGAGTCTGTGAAATTATTGTTGCATTATTGCTGTAGTATTTCATTTACAGTTATTATAACCTTTCCCATACAACATGTCAACATAGAAGTAAGAAAAATACAATGTTTTTCACTTTCTACTAATAAATGCAAATTTACAATCTGTCTATCTTCTATCATTATTATGGTCCAAAAGTTGCCTGTAATGACCTACCATATTTTGACATTGTTATAATTATTATTATTCTAATGTGTAAAATTTTGGAACAATTGATTATCTCATTGTAAAGCCTAACTCAATGCTCCAGATCTCTACCATTTGGCAAAACTGAGATTTTAGTTTTAAAAGAGCAAGGTGGTAATTTACTTTATAGTAAACATATGATTATTTAAATCCCATTTCTCTCTGTTCCATGTGGACTTTTAAATCGTAAAAAAGTAGGACCAACAATAATTAACAGTCAGGATCCTAGAGTTTTAGTATTAAATCTTTTTGTTAAAAAGCACTAAAATCTATAAAGTATATATATATATATATATATATATATGTAACAAACTTTTTATATTCTTATTTCTCCTCTTTAGAAAAGTTCATTTAACTTAAATACTTGAACAAATAATTTATTACCAATTTAATCCACTTAAATGAGAATAAAGTATTAAAGAGTAAAAGATGGCAAGATTATCTTTTAAAAAACCATTACATTGATTATTAATTATGAAATCATATAATATTCTTAATTTTTTAATAAAATGCAGAGGTTTTTTTTAAAAAGAACTCATTTTTATGTGAGTTACGCACCCACTTCTTTCATTTTTCTCTTTAAAAGCCTAATAAGGAATATTGACTTTAAGCTTTGTCATCTCAGCCAAGGTAGTAAAGGCAGCCAACATTACTATTGTTACCATATCATTCTTTCTCTTTATTATACAAGTATATTGATGATGTAATTGCAGAAGTTTGGGTTTACTCATGCTGCTGGATTAAAAGGATTTTTTTAGACTTCCTCCTTCAGCCCCATAGAATACTTGTAAAACAGAACCACACATATAATTTAAGCAATTCATCTCCTGAAAGTAAATCTGCAGGATCTTCATCCTGAAGGACTGATCAAGAGCTAGAAACGCAGAACCATTGTAAAGCTCAATTTGCTCCAGACTGATGTTCAGCTGGAAAAACACCTGGGTCACATAACACTAGTCTATGACATCCTGGCTTTTAACCCTTTTCTAGAAGCCATCAACTTTTCTTCTCTGTTTGGCTCTAATTTCCCCTGGAAAACTCAAGAGATTGGGGAATATCTCAGCTTTTGATCCCAGCCCATTTTATTCCTATGCAGATATTCCCTTGAAAGTTGACTGGGAACTAAGCAAGCATTTGTCATTCTGCATTTAAAATAAAGGAAATGACTGAGGAAACCGTGGTGATCCTCAATACAGTCATATTATAAACACAGGACAGCTGAGCTTTTACAAATGCATCTACTACTCTAAGAAAAATCCCATAATTGTAGTTGAAAGTGCAAACAAAAAGAATCAACAAGAAAAGACAGAAGCAAAATCACATGCAGATGAGGCAGTGCATACAGTGAGGCTAGATAACATACCTGAGGGATTCTCCTTTAAAAAAAAAAATGTACACGCCAGCTGGGTTGTTCCTCTTCTCCTGTTGGGGTATATGTGTTTTCCTTTCAGAAATACCACTTGCAATTTTGTTTCTAGTCTCCTTTCCTCTATTCAGCCACAAAGAGTTAGAGCAGGAGCAGAGGCTGCGTCCCAGGGACCGGACTCATGTGCAATCAGGCATGCCTTTGGTCTGCAACGGTGTCTGTTCTTTTCTTGTCAATTCTTTCGTGCTCCCTGGGTAGCCTCCAAAGCAATTTTACAACTTAGCTGCTGGCACAAAACTGCCTTTCACTCTTCCCATTGCCAAATTCCTTGGGCAGCTCATTTCTCATCCCTTTCTCTAAGAAAGCAAAATGAGATCTCTCCGGAGCACCCAGGCTCATCAACAACTGAGGGTGAAGAGCAGCCTGGCTCAGTGCGTCCTAGGAACTTCACACATCGCAGAGACCACTGCTTTTCAGAATGCAGCAGCGATGCTGAGAGATCCCCAGCCTCCTGCATGGAGAGCGTCTCGGCTCCCTCTGCTGCCGCTGTAGCTGCACAGAGCCGCTCTGCGAGGGTGAGCCACAGCCCTTGCTCACAGGAGATTCACAGTGGACGCTGCCAGGTGTGGCCATCATCACCGCACTGACAACTAACTATGTGGGGTACAACATCATCTTTAGGGAAATGCATGAATGCCTAATCTTTCCTTTATTAGCTGACCTAAGAGACAATCATATACCCAATTCTGATAGCTGCGTTAGAATAACAAGTGCAATTATTAAATTAACTATGTTATTTAGTAATCACTGTTTTAGATTTAGTTGGCTATGTCTGGAATCATGAAAAGTACTCAACCTTCAGTATAATTTCCAATTAGATACAAGAAGCTACTAAAGAACCCGGTATTTGAATGAAGGAGATACTGAAATCCCATCCCAGGTGGTTTTTCATTTTCTTGTGAAATTATATTTGAAGGTGATTCCTCAGCAATGTGAATTAAAAACACATATACATATTAAAGTAGGAAAGGGTGGAGACATATTGATATAAAGGTTTTGCTTCTCACTTAGGAATAATGTCTTCCTATTTGATGTTAACATTTTAAAGATCTAGCTAGGAATTGAATGGGTTTTCTTTATTTTTTACTTTTGCTGAGTAGAGGAGGTGGGGGAGTAACAGCTCCTGCTTCCATCAATTAAGCACTTTCAATCCTCTAACCTTCCTGTTGAAACAAATATAAAAAGCACTGGATCTTAAAATAGAGCCTTAAAGAAGCTCAAGTCCTGGAATAATTTGTAGGTTTTAAGCTGCATCTGGTCTACTGGCTTAGTTCTTTCTTCTTTGCTTTGTAAAAAATGGGAGGATATTTCCAGGACTGAAAAACAATCAACTAGTAACTGAGATTAAACAGTATAAAAAGCATGTTCTCAGATTTGCATGACATTTTTCAGTACATGTAAGGATGAATGTGTTTAGATCAATTTTAGAATTGACTCTCTTTTCCCATGAACTTTTAATATAAAATAAGCTGCCAGTAAAAAAAAAAAAAAAGAACATTTTGGGGCAAAACTTGTGGCAAAACATATTCTGCCTACCATACTTACCATAAATTTAAAAAATAATGATTTAAAAAAGAATGTTCCCAAGTTTGATAAAATGTTTGCTCTAGGTACTGACAGCCGAGCACTCTCTATCCCTAGCTTTCAGCCCCAACTTTGGTTCATAGCAGCACAGCTTTTCCAACCTGCTGCTTAAGTGACTGTTAAGGACTTGAGCAGCTGCTCAGTCTAATGATCTGCATCAGGGGGCAAACACTGGGGCAGTGTGATCCCTGCCTTCAGTACTCACCAGAGGGGCAGGCTGGACAAAGCTCTACTGCCCCCGGCTGTAAGCACTTGAGAGTCACAAAGGAAAACTCTTTAGACCTTAAAGTACAACATAGGGCAAAACTTGACATTTTTATATAGAAAAAGTCATGGTAGCTAATGCATTGTTTTGAAAAAAGGTCTGATACATAGAGGAAGGAGTATGTATTCATGATTTTTTTTTTTTTTTGGTTTTCAATAACAAACCAAAGTGCTGAAGCTGGGGCCAAGAGTCCCAGGATCCAATATTGTGCAATGTACGTAAGTCTTCAGCATGGTGAGATATGGTATCAGTGATTTTAGGTTTTAAGCTTATAGAAGGAATATAAGTAAGATGTTTCTAAATATGTAGTCTATAGAATGTGTCTGTAATATATGAAAAGTTGTGAAAATATTGCTGTAATTCAAATACTTGCATAAAGGAAATAACACCAGAGGTCATGGCCATCATTTTTGCTGATAAGAAGAAATGCTTCATGAACCCTGCAATGCCAGCCTGTGTGTTCTGATTAGTATACTTCTTAGCTCTCATGATCAGGATTCTGGTCATATACTTAAAACTGGAAAGTTTTTACATCTCTTAACGTGGTAGGAATCATGTATCTGAGGGATACTGGCGGCTACTGTTAAAATTTCACTTCTAGAAAAAGTGACATGGATTTATGGCCTTATTGACCTCCAGGTACACTGAAATTCCTAACAGAACTTCCTTAATTTTTGATGGGTAGTTTTCACCTGCTGAGTATCTGAGTTGAATGATATATAATTACAGAGATGTGAATACAAGTTAAGAGTCCTGCATATTCTTATCAATAAGATGCATTCGATTTCTTCAAAGAGCTTTCTTTTCAAATACTCAGATTAGTAACACCAAACAACACAGTATAGGAAATGAGTAATTTCCACTTACATACATTTCACTCTACAGGTACATGCCTCAAAACTTACTCAAAGATTGATTAAATAATAAAATCATCTATCCTCCAAATCCTTCAGTAGTAATTTCAGGAAGAACAAAACCTCAGGGCATCATTCACTTCTCATATCCCAAGGCATAACCTGGGCCTTATCATTTGTCTCATTTATGGTTTGGGGGGAAAAAAAGAAATGTCTAGATCATTGATCATTTTTTATTAGTAAAACTACTAAGTCAAAAGGATAAAAGAAATTCTGGTAGAATTCTGTTACTTCCTGTGTACCTGAATTTAAACAACCAAGGAATTCTTGAAAAAGCATAAATCAACCTGTGTGCACTGAATTAGATTTTCACCTTTCCAGAAGACCTCTCTTTCTTTTGGAGAACTGGTAATCGATCATTGGAGCTTACTATTTAAACAAAATCCCCCTTCTGACTAATCATTGTTTTTCTGTACGTATGCAAATAAATTGGCAAAATAGGTCATTTTCAAGATGATTGAGAACAAAAACCACAATTACTTTTAAGGTAGCAAGCTGGAATTGCCATATCTATAGATAATTTATTTGAGAATAAGTCATCTAAGCACATTTGAAAGATTTAATTAATGAGAATTGCATGATGCAATGCACACATTAAATTTTGTTACTAAAGCTTTCCATTAAATTATGAGTCTTTAAAGATTTCACCCTTGAGCAGAAGTGAGAGTGTGTAACTGCAGAGATAAGGTGGTACAAGGCAGTGCAGTTTCCTCTTTGACGCACTCGCACTCTCAGTTTGTTCACTCTGGGGAAGTCAGCTCTCATGTCATGGTGATACTCATGGAACTAAGATTTCCTAAGACTAGCAAGAAACAGAAACCTCCTATACACAGTCATGTGAATGAGCCATTTTGGAAAATGACCCTGAAAATACATTCAAACTTTGAAATGACCAAAGTCATTGCTAACATGCTAGATGGAAATGTACAAGGAACTCTAACGTAGAGATACTCAATTAAGCCATTGATGACCAAGAGAAACTGTGAAATAATAAATGTTCATTGTTGAAGTACAAAAATAAAATACCTTTGAAATTTCCAAAAGAGGAATTAGATTGCCTATTATTTAACTGTGGGTTTTCAATGCACCAGTGTTATATAAATCTCAGGTTCAACAAATTTACTCACAAGATGACAGTGTCATACTTCTCTAATTATTCTTGGCAGTGCTTTTGTGTGTGTATTCTTAGCAGTTTTATAAATCTCTATTTTAGCATTGGTTTATTATCAAGTATGTTGAAATATTAATTTACTCGTCTGTCTTTCCTTGCTAGACAAGTGGGCTCCTTGAGGGCAGAAACCATGGTCCACTCATCTTTATATCCCCAATGCCCAGCTGAAGACCAGACTCATTAAAGGTAGTTTAAATGAGTAACAGTGTGCTTTATTAAAGCACAAAGTTAATGAGGCTTAATACATGGGTTGAATTTCTATATAGCCTATTAGCTTTCTTCTATTTATTGGTCCAAATGACACCCTTAGTTCTCACCAGCTGCCTCACACATATATGTGAACAAACTTTCTAACTACATATTCCAACAGTCATCTGTATCATAATAATAATGCCTAAAGTTCAACATCCTTACGAATTCTTTTATGTTTATTTTAATTAGATACTGATCTTTAAAAATGTATAAAATATTACAGTGACATTTCCATTGTCCCCACACAATATGGATAAAATAGACAAAGGTTGTATAGTGTGTCTGATTGTATGAAACTAGTAAATGTTAGAGACTGGATAAAAAACTTCTACTTCAAAACTGGTTTCACTGCAAATGTGACATTATGATAGATGGCACAATTTGTAAGTTTTGTTAAAAAAATTTAATTATTAAAGGGAGTGAAATTATTCAAGAAGACACTCTTGTAAAATATTTCTACTTGGGTAATGATCATTAGACTTTGGGTAATGATCATTAGATGCTGAATGCTGTTGAGTGTAAAAGCATCTATAATTTTATTCAGTTTTTTTCCTTTAGTAAAATTAGTTTCGGTACTGTATTCCAGCAAATCATCATATGAAGGCATTTTAAAAGAATATCTAAATTTTTAAAGTGATACAACATTTGGACAATAATAAGTTGAATTTTTCCCATTTTATTATTCTTTTCACTTGTGTTGGTCCAGGTAACCATGATTAGCAATATAGCATAACATCAGAGAGAACATACTCTATATCAGGGTTCCTGCTTTCTAAGTTGGGCTCTCGCAAGTACTTTATTTCTGACTTTGGTCAAATTTCTTTACCTCTCTAAATTTAGTTAAAATGAAAAAAGTTTTGAGAGAGAAGTCATGGAAAAAATGAACCCACCTATTCAAGAACAAAATCTTCACAGGATCCTATGGGCAGATTTTTAAAGTCTTTCTATGGTGTTTCACATTTTACTAACTTGTGAAACCACAAACCAATTTCAACAAATTGGCTTTTGTCAAATATTCTTATTAATATCCAAGAATGACAAATGCTTTGTTAAAGAAAAGCAGCTCCATGTAATTTATGCTTCTCCTTACTTACCTGCCCCCACCACCTTGATCTGTATGATGAGTTATCTTTAATATAGTTCAAGGAAGCATGTCTTAAAGTTAGATAGAGTAACTAGGAAAGCAAAACAACCCATAGATAACAAGTAAAAGTACTTAACAAGAGATCCTCACCAATCCTAAACATAAGCAGATTGGGGACAAAAAACGTTATATGAACCTTATGTCCACATCGGTAAAGAGATAGGAAGAAGCAATAAGGAATGTGAAAG